ACGACAAAAATAGAAAGCCTCATATTTTTTCCTGGTATGAATTTAATATTTATAATAATATACCTACAATATACAATAATATGCATTATGTAATATTTGTATTGTATATAGTGTGAGACATCAGACATGATAAGTCGATGAAATTTAAATAATATTATAATCAACACCACGATATTTGAAAATATCATTCTTTGTCGAATTGTATAATATATAGGTATACAGCGTATACACCATAGTATGTTTTATGAATTATTATGATGATGCAAAACACATATTTATTCAGGCAGCCCGTCAAATATTCTCTTGTCAAGCACTCAACATTTTAAACATTCATTAAACACCGGTGGAGTGGGTAGGTACAGTCGGTTCAGGTAAACTTAGTCGATTATAATTTTCTATTTTATTGCAAACTTTTACGGTAACAAAAAAATAATGTAAAATCACAAATGCTGCAGGCACTTGCATTTTGTTACATTTTCAATACATTTGTACGCGACACTTGTAAAACAAACATTAAAAATACCAGAAACTTAGTATAATATAAGTGATTATTGTACAACAGTACAAGACATTAAAAATCAATAGTCTCTCGTTTAGAATGATATATGTTTAATGTTACATATTATTGTTTTGACTTTCAGTTAGGTTGCATTTGTATAATATTTAAATGTTTAATTTGGCGTTTGTTATTAAATGTATTATTTTAGAATGAAATAATATGTAAACATATTATTTTTTTATGACGCCAGCAGCGGTATTCTGTAACTCGATAAGCCGTTATCGACAAACGTCGTTAATGAGCGCTTATCGAATTTCACTTTATGTAACGAACTTCCATAACGAAAGTGCGATTCCGTATTATCAATTATTCCTAATTTTTCGATACAAAAATTATTTTTTTGTTACCGACAATTTTGTTATTCTTATCGAATAACCCAAAGATATTTATAAAATGAACCAATCAAAAACTATCTTGCTGATAACCAAATTGTATTATCACAAAATGTAATATAGTTCTATTATTATAATTTTTATTGTTTTGCTGTAAATCGTAATTTCTTTTTGTAAATTGTAAATATTGTAATACAGATGCGTTTGGCTGAAATTAGTAATTACTAAATATTAATTAGTATTAATCTGCACTACACAATACTAATATGATGAACGAAAGGTAAGAGAGTATTATTAGTTACCTAGTTAAAATGTATAAAGTTACATATATTACTCAATTAAATAACATTTACTGTTACCTAATATAGTAAGTTGATTTGTACAGTAATACAGTTTCCATAATATTATACACCTAATTATTTAATTTAATATTCATCGATTCATCTCTTTTTAATTAAACATACTACCTAGCATACAAACCTTATACATATCTAAGATTATTAAAATTATGACTTATGACTTAAATGTTTATACTTTATAGGTCCTATTTAATTCTTACAAATTATGTGGTCTATACATTTTGGATGGATGTATTATCATATGTACTTGTGTGTTATTCTAATCTAGCCATGTATTATTGGTGTTATTAAATAAACCTACAAAAATTGTTATAATTTTTTTTTTACCAGTATGTCTAGTGGACCTCCTACTAAAAAAAAGAGACAAGGTCGTAGGAACAATAATCAAATAGAGTACCTAGTAGACTATTTGATTCAACACCCGAATGTAGCTACAGGGAAATTCATGAAAATGAATGCAAGAGACGCACTCCAAGGATCTTGGGAAGAACTCGTTAGACAATTGAATGAGATGCGAAGTAATGGGCAGTCTGAAAAAAATGTTAAATCATGGAAAGAGGTTGGTACAATGTATCAGGTACATAGATGTCCACAAGATTTTGTGTTAGGTACAGCACACTTTTTAAACAGTAGGTACTTTAAATGAAACTATTAGAAGCTATTTCCTTCAATCCTCATTATTGTATATGTAAAAGAAATATATTAGATTAAAAGTTATACATACATATTTAAATACAATTTATAAATTAATATCTAATATTGGTCATTACTCATTGATCATTATACTCATTAGCTTATTACATTTATAATATAATAAAATAATAATACTAATAATACAAAAATGGTAATAGATAAATAAATTTCATAAAACATACAATTCTTGATAAAAAGTACTAACATTTTTCGTTTGATTACCATTGATTCCTATTTTAATTTAATTTTAAGTACAATAGTAAATTATTATTCATACTATTTACATGCACTATGTTGTTAAATTAAATATCTATAGACTCATTAAATAGTAGGTTATTTGAAAAAAATATGAAGTAATATGCTGTATAGTAGGATTTGAATGTTTATCTCAGATGGATATATTGTTTATGTCATGTCTTCATCTATCAATGTTTTAAAAAGTATGCTAAGTTTGGAAAAAATTTACCAACATTTGCTAGCCCAATAAATAGCCCCAAATTTACTAAGCTACAATGACAGATAAATTTCACTATTAATAAAGATTTGTAGACACCTCAAGCTTATAATTGATTTTTTTATTTTATGATCAAAAAATAGTCTTGGAGAGATCAAAAAACAAAAACGTCAAAAAAAGTTAGTGCACTTAGAAGAGAAAGGGTGCAAACAGGCAACAAAATAACTAATACACCTCAACTATCGGATTTGGACAAGAAAGTTTTATCGATTATT